TTGGGACGGTGTGCGCACCGTCGCAGTCCACAAATACTGTGAAGTACTCAACGAGAACTTTTCAACTTGGAACCCGGATATTTGGACCAAGGAAGTCGAAGTGGGTGGTTACGGGTAAGTCACCACTTAGTGTTGACTTTCTGATTAATCAAAACGCTGATTCAAGAACCAAAGCAACGGCCACTTCGACATGACCACCAACACCGACGAAAACGTGTACATACAAAACGGCCAACTCATCATCAAACCCACCCTCCAAGACGAATCCCTCCTTACCCAAAACACCACCCTCGACCTGCGCGGCCTCGGCTGCACAGCACAAACCTGGGAAGCCTGTGTAACAAGCACAAACACAACCAACGGGACCATCATCAACCCCGTAAAATCCGGACGCATCAACACCAAGCGCGGCGCTTCCATAAAATATGGCCGCGTCGAGGTCGTCGCCAAACTGCCGGCGGGCGACTGGCTCTGGCCGGCGATTTGGATGTTACCAGTCGATAACGCGTACGGCGAGTGGCCTGCCTCGGGCGAAATAGACATCATGGAGTCCCGCGGCAACAACGCGAGTTATGCCCAGGGAGGAAATAACATAGCATCTAGCACGCTGCACTTTGGCCCCAATGCGCTCAACGATGGGTGGTGGCTCAACAATGTCAAGCGGAAAGCGTTGCATACGAACTATGCGGCTGGGTATAATACTTTTGGTGTCGAGGTACGTTGGATCTTTTAATCCTTCTATCGCTATCATCATCCAACTTGTCCCATCTTTGTACCCGATTCTACCGTATCAACGATGCGGCGATACTGACAACACACGCAGTGGAGTGAAAAATACATCTTCACATACATCAACACCCGCCTCCAACAAGTCCTCTTCACATCCTTTGCCCAGCCCTTCTGGGACTACGGCCGCTTTCCCCTCTCCGACACCAACGGATCGCGTCTCGCGAACCCGTGGCAGAACACAGGCAGCAATGCGAGTCCGTTTGACCAGCCGTTCTACCTCGTTATTAATGTTGCGGTTGGTGGGACCAACGGCTGGTTTAAAGATGGAAAGGCGGGGAAACCTTGGATCGATGCGAGTCCGAGGGCGAAAAAAGACTTTTGGGATGCGAGGGCGCAGTGGGGAAGTAGTTGGGAGAGGGGGGGTTGGATGGCGGTACGGAGTGTGAAGATGTGGCAACAGAGTGGGTGGAATGGGTGTGTGGCGTGAAAGGGGTAATGGGATGTTTGTGTATGTTGGGTTAGCTAAGTAGCTGCGATGGAATCATGATATGGAGATCTAGTAATAGTGTGGATATTTCTGTCCCAAGTCTTAGACTCGCTGACTTTTGAAGAGTATCTCTTATCTGCTATCGTCATCTGTCCTTATGGTTCAAGGGGGCGTATCTAGTCCTGCGATCGCGGATGCGCGTGCGCTTGTCCAGATCGTACACGATTGACTCATTAACCTCTGAGAAACACACGTCAGGTGAAACATGGTACCTGGTACGTGGACAACGAGGCATGCGCAACAATCAACCGGTAGCACGATGAAGCCACGACCGGATCCGTACTCGCAATTCTCACCCACTGTACTCACTCCATCATCCTAGCATCTTCACTTCACTAGCATTCGTACTCATCTCTGAAGCTAGAGATCGTAGCCCTAAGCGATGAGAGCGAGAGTCTAGTACAAACCCTCTTGTGGAATTGTAATACCGAGATTTCGTGAATGATGGTGGATTGGACCTCCTCCACTTTAGGCAGGTGGGCTTCGGCTTACCGCTTTGAGATGTGCCCATGCTCTCTCCCACTCTTGACAATTATCAACATCAATACAGTCCAGATACGAATTTCGGAGGTCTGAAAGTTCTTTTTGGTGGACCTCAAAGGTTACCAGGGAGTTTTGCAAGCAACCACAACGCCACATCCCCAATCATCAACTTCCTACACGACCATTGACAGGCCACCCTCTACCATTCCACCACCCATTCCACCACCACCACCACCGCAACCATGCCCTATTCCCCCAAACCCGGCGACCCAGTCACCACCCTCGACACCCCCTCCATGCTGGTCGACCTCTCCCTCATGGAATCCAACCTCACCTCCCTAATGGCCACTCTCCACCACCCCCACATCTCCATCCGCCCACACCTCAAAACCAGCAAATCCGCCATTCTCGCCCGGAAAATGGTGGCCGCAGGCGCAACAGGCGGATGTGTTGCAAAGCTCAGCGAAGCAGAAGTCATGTGTTCGCTCGGCTTCACCGATCTGCTTATCACGTGTGAGATTGTGGGACCGGCGAAGGTGAAGCGGTTGGTTGAGCTGTGGAAGAAGAACCGGGAGATCAGGATTGTAGTTGATAGTGAGGAAGGGGCGCGGGCGATTGATGATGCGGTTAGGGAGAGTGGGGAAAAGGGACGTATCACCACGTTGATTGATTTGGATGTTGGGTTGCATAGGACGGGTGTGCAGCCTGGGGAGCCGGCAATGAAACTTGCGAGGATGGTGGCGGGGTGTGAGCATTTGAGGATTTTGGGGGTGCAGGGGTATGAGGGGCATTTGCAGCATGTGCATGGGGTGGAGGAGAGGAAGAGGTTGTGTTTGGAGAGTATGGAGATACTTGTGCAAGCTGCGGAGGCGTTGAGGAGGGATGGACATGGGATCGAGGTTGTTACGACGGGGGGGACGGGGACGGCGGAGTTTTGTGTCGAGGTTCCCGGGATCACGGAGGTCCAGCCTGGGTCGTTTGTGTTTATGGATACGGATTATCGGAATGCGGTGGGCACGAAGTATTCGAATAGTTTGTCGATCTTGTCGACGGTGTTGAGCAAGCAAGGGCCGACGTGCGTTACGATTGATGCGGGCCTCAAGTCGCTTACTACGGATAGTGGGCTCGCGGAGTGTAAGGAACCTGGATATACGTATGGGGTCTTGGGGGATGAGCATGGGAGTCTGTCGTGGGAAGATGGGAAGGCGAAGGCGTTGAATGTTGGAGACACGGTGGAGATGATACCGAGTCATATTGATCCCACGATCAATCTACATGATGTGTACTATGCACATCGGAACGGCATCATTGAGGAGATTTGGCCAGTGGATGCTAGAGGAAAGGTTCAATAGATAGTACACTAAACACTACAACTTGCAAACTATCAAAGCATCCTGAGCGTCTCATTATAGTTGTATATCCCCATTCTCCCAAACTCAAGCGATGTCAATCAAATTCTCCTTGAGGTCCTTTGCTGACACGCCAGCCAACGGGTCTTTCTTGTCGAATGCTGCGTCAGCTCTAGCTTTCTTGGACATCTTTGTAATGTCGTAGTGTTGCCCGCCCATCTTGGGGTGGCGCTTCTTCTTGTAGGCCTTGAACTTAGCATCCCACTGCCACTTATCCTTTGAACCACCTTGTGTCTCATCAAGCTTCCTCTTCTGTCCGGCTGCGGGAGAGGCAGATTTCTTCGCCTGACCTGTCTCCTCCTCATCGTTCTCCTTGTCTGCATCTTCTTTTTCGTCGCCTTCTTCCAGCAGTTTCATCCGGAGCTCCGAGGCAGCTACGCCCTTCTTTAGGTCGAGTCTGCCCTTTTTGACGTAGGCGATGGCTTCTTTCCGCCATTCCATGCATTCGCCCTCAATACCCATATCGGCAAGGTCGTAAGTAAATTCGATGAATTCGCCGATGACAAGAGGCAAGTCCAGAAGCTTCGAATCAGGCTTGAGCTCGCCCTCATCTTCGACCACAGCAAGCGTTGTGATGAGCGCGCATCCCACAAGACCAATGAGATTGCAGGTTGTTGGTCCGTCCTCGTTGCCTACAGGATTTAATGAGTAAATGGGTAGAACAGTGGCAGTTCCACAAATGGTCCCAACTTACCGTACAAATCCTCAATTCCGTGCGCAGTATTGAACCAGTGACCCATTGCGCTGACCACAGCCCACATCTCGTTGAGCCTGTTTGTCCCCTTTTCGCGAAACGCTTTATCAAAGTCAACGAGCTGGTTCTCGATGCACTCCTGCAGACCCCACCCATGCCAGTCATTGTAAAGGTACATGTTGAACATATCAGGGTCACAGTACTTGGCCTTGCGAGCCTGTAGATCGTACTTCTCGTACGCACTGTACATCATGACCCACTTGTGCTCTGGATGCTCTGCCGCAGGAGCTTGCCATATCCCGGCCTTTTTCTCCGCCTCGAAAATTGGCTTCCCCATCTGCGCATAAATTTCTTCGTCTTCAAGAAGTTCGGCCTCACCATTCTTCGACTGGCGCCAGTTTTCACCCTCTAGATCAAAGAAAGGGCGATGGATGCAGATGTACTCGTATGGAGCCTTTTTAGCCTCCTTGGTGTCCTACAAATACCTGTTGGTAGGGCATTCGCAGTTTTGAGTGTTGGAGACTCACCTTCCCGTCTTTTCCGCCCTTCGCGCTCTGAGTGTTATTAGTTGTTGCGGCGGCTGTCTCGGAAAGAGCATCGCTCGCCTCAACCGACTTCTGTCGCTTCTTTGGAGGCATACTTATTTATTTTGATGATCTGGATTGTCTCTTTGATAGTTTGTCTGATGGATTGGGATAAAATGGAGGCATGCTAGGGGACGCTGGACTTGATTCCGATCAGGTTATGTTATCAATGCGCTGCGTCATCTCCGAACTTGAATGAACGCGAATCTTGCGCGGATGCACGTGAAAGATGCCAACACGCGCGACTGTTACAACACACCGCAGACAAGGTCTACAACATCATATTCGGCATTCCCGTCCTGGTTACCTATGTCCGAAGGTTGTTCTGCTCTACGCGCTGAATGAGTTGTTACAGTTTGAAGCACACCCAATCTCATGATCACTTCGAGAGTAGATGTGCCTTGAAAAAAAAAGGGGGGCCACGTCTCCAGATCGCAAACAGTAGGTGAACTAGGCGCACAACCCTTGACGACTAACGTGCTACCATCACGAGTGCAAAAACAAAGCGCATCGAATATGCTACCATCTATTCCGACGCGTGGGCAAAAAGACAATGTCCCGTGCCAGACTCGAACTGGCGGCCTTGGGATTTCTACTCTAGGAGCAGTCATACATTACATGATGATATGAGACCCACGTGATAACCAACTACACCAACGAGACGTTGCGAACCGAAGTTCGCGTTGGTGATTCATGGAGAAAATCTGTGATTGTAGCTTTTATGAATCAAGACGGTCTGAGCCGTATGGGCAACGCATAATCTCCGACCTCGGGATGAAGCTTATCGATTAGACCCTGAAATTTTGTGGAGTCACCCATCATAGTCGGAGCAAATGGCTCAACAGGACTCATGTAACTCTTCTCGTTCTTTTCTTCTTGTATAAAGATGGCGTTGCGATTCTCTTCCAGGCGAGCGTGCGCTGTGCTCCGCGCGCCTCGATCCCAGAACATCTTTGTTCGTCATGCATCGGCAGCGTCAGCCGCACTGAAAGGCTCGAGTTTACCTCAAGAGACGCTCGATTCGATAGCTGTGAGTGCAATTGCGTTATGCCATGATACTTGTTCAGTTCTAATTACCATGCAGCGCGATGCGTCCCTCCCAACACCCGACCCATCCTCTAGTTCGAAGACAGCGGGCCTTGTCAATCAGCAGCTCCCATACATGGTCCCAACCTACGTCCGCCCACCTCCCATGTTTGAGAAGGGAGAAGGCTGTTATATGTGGGATGTAGAGAACCGCAAGTATCTCGACTTCACAGCCGGAATTGCTGTCAATGCATTGGGCCACTGCGATGCTGGCGTTGCGCAGGTCCTCGCTGAGCAAGTATGTCATGGTACAAGTGTGGGACTTGCCATACAGGACTGACTGAACCCTAGGCAAAACAACTCATGCACACGTCCAACTTGTACCATAACCCACACACTGGACTCCTTTCGAAACAGCTAATTCAACTCACGCACGCGACCGGCGGATTCGAAAGCGCATCCCGAACCTTTATATGCAACAGCGGTTCCGAAGCCAACGAGGCCGCGATCAAGTTCGCACGCAAGGTCGGCAAGTCGATATCGCCTGACCAAGATAAACATGAATTCGTCTCATTTCACAACTCTTTCCACGGTCGCACAATGGGAAGTCTGAGCGCAACACCAAACCCCAAATACCAAACTCCATTCTCGCCAATGGTGCCCGGTTTCAAGTACGGCACATTCAACGATGTTGAGGCGATCAAAGACTTGGTTACAAAGTCGACTTGCGGAGTCATCGTCGAGCCGATTCAGGGTGAGGGCGGTGTCAATGTTGCGACACCCGAGTTTCTCCTTGCGCTACGGAAGCGCTGCACAGAAGTCGGTGCCGTGTTGATCCACGATGAGATCCAGTGCGGCCTAGGCAGAACAGGCAAATTTTGGGCACATGGAGGTTACCCCAAGGAATGCCATCCTGACATTGTCACCACTGCCAAGGCTCTTGGAAATGGTTTCCCAATTGGTGCTACCATTGTGAATGACTTCGTCTGCGACCACATCAAGACTGGTGATCATGGAACTACCTTTGGTGGTAATCCACTCGGGTCACGCGTAGCTTCATACATCCTCTCTCGCTTATCATCGCCTGAGATCCTGGACTCAATCCCAGCAAAGGAACAAGCGTTTCGCAAACACTTCGATGTTCTCAGGAAGCGATTCTCTCGGGAGATCAAAGAAGTCAGAGGCAAGGGTCTCATACTAGGATTGCAGCTCGATGCCGACCCTACACCGATCGTCACCGCTGCCCGTGAGAGAGGATTATTGATAATCACCTGCGGGACTAATACCCTACGATTCGTCCCTCCGCTAGTGATTACAGAGAGCGAGATCGAAGAGGGCATGAATATACTTGGGCAGGCTATGGAGAGTGTATGGGCCAAAGGCGAAGACGTGGAAGGCACAGATGGACAGCAGGAGATGCGATAGGGTTTGTCACAGTCTTCTATCGTTTGAGCATGGCGTTCGACTTCGTGTAGAATTTTTTGAGCAGGCATCCAAAAGCGAGCGGTTATCAATGCAACTTTCATCTACCCGCCTTTGACAGTAAAAGTCCAGCATCGAGATGTGTCTGTGGGTACCCGATATCGTTAGCGTGAGACTAGCGCCGAATCGCAAGCATAATCTTGGCAGCTGCCTCCTGTCACTCACAATCATCAAATAATCCTTTCGAATCAAACCAAGAAACCCGGCACCTTGACGGTTCGATTCTGGATCAGCAAGCACGAAATTGCGCTTCGTTGATTGGGCCCGCATGATGCAGCGCTGCGCGTGAGACTACGCTTCCAGCAGGATCAACCCAACGGTTTGCTGGTAAGGCTCCCAAAATCCCGGTTCATTCAACCATTGATACACTGTCCTCGAATTCTTCGAGATGGTACCGACCTCAATGCCGTCAAGACATGGTGCGGAGCTGGAACAAGACGAACTTCAACAGTACATCGCCATAGGCTGCCTTCACTTCGACCAAGCCGTAAGCTCACAATATGAACCTTCTCAAGGAACGAAATGGCTGGAGCTTGTACATTCCGATCTTCCGCAAGAGATCCAACAGATGATCGGAGATGAAGCTGCGCGGCTTTTGAGCGCACGCTGGATAAGACTCTTTCTTCACCAGCGTGAGCCTGAAGGTCAACACAGCATGTTGCGCGTCTATCTACTGCCAGAGGACTGGCGTCGCCGGACTATTGATCGCAATAGTAGATCCTTGAAGGCAGATTTAAGACAGCTACTTCAACAAGTAGACACTTCCGCGGAGTCTTGGGCTGGTTTCTCCTCTACTTCTTCAGGCTCTCGGTTTGATGTATGGGCTAATGCCGAGCCACATTCACTATACTATTTGTTCAACAAACTGCCTTCGCCAAACCCAGTACCTGCGACTGTGAAGAACAGGTACGCTCGGGCGGCAATGCACGATCTGTTGAAGTCGTCAGAAGATTCACCTTGGGAGGGTTTCGGGGAGCAGCCTCTGCCGGGACTGAGGACCCGATTATACCCTTACCAGGCGCGATCTGCCAGTCTGATGGTACAGCGGGAAACTTCGCCTCAACTCCAACTCGATCCCAGGTTGGAACTTCGCTCGTCCCCAAATGGAAAACCTTTTTATTACGGCGCTCGAGACGGATCCTTCCTGCAAGCGGCAAGGTACTATGAAACGAATCGGGGCGGAATTCTCGCAGAAACGATGGGCCTAGGAAAAACTGTCATTTGCCTAGCAGTCATCCTAGCCACGAAGAGCCACTATCCTCAGATCCCAGCGGCCCATCATCCATCAGCGCCTGTTCGGAAACGCACCGGGACATTATTAGACATGGCCGCGTCAACTGCAGGACGCTTCTCTATACCCGTGAATGCCTATCTGGAACAGTCGGAGGCGAACGGCACCGAAATTCCGCCAAGTTTAAGAGAGGCACTGGAACGCAACCCTTCCTTCTATGAGATACCGAGTGAGCTTCCAAGAAAAAACCGGAACACAGTTACACCTCCCCCTCGCCAACTAGCAACTTGCTCTGGTACAATCATCATCGTACCGCGCAACCTCCTGCATCAGTGGCAGTCAGAAATCCGGAAACACGTACTCGAAGGTGGCCTGAAAGTCCTTGTAGTCGACACCGCAGCAAGAGGGCGTGGTAAAACAAAGCCGGCCCCGAAAAGCATTGGTGACATAGATTTCACCAATGAGCTTCCTATACCTACCGAGCTCATGAAGTATGACGTGGTCTTATTTAGTCGCAATCGCTTTGAACAGGAAATCCAAGACGGAGCAGATAAGCAAGGGCGACGTGCAGCGTCTGGTCCCGCTCTCGCGTGCTCATGTGCATACATAGGCGCTACCCGCCTCCGCGATTGCAACTGTCTCAACGACCTGGACATGTATGAATCACCGTTAAAGAAACTGCACTGGCTACGAATAATCGTAGATGAGGGCCACAGTTTCTCAAGTTCAGTCTCGAATGCAGTGTTAGTCGCGAAGCAGATCCACGCCGAGAGACGCTGGGTGGTATCAGGAAGTGAGTTTTTCCAACTTGCCTAGTGCGCGTCAACTGATTTGTACAGCACCAGCAAAGAACCTGGTAGGTGTAGAGATGGACGTATCTGCTTTAGACACCGGCAACGACGCACTCATTCCATTGCGGGCATCAGTCATCGAGCAAAGAAAAGCCTTCAACTACGACGACGAAACAAGCAAAGCCACCAAAGCACTGGGCTCGTTGGCTTCCCATTTTCTCATGGTACAACCGTGGACCGAAAGTAAGGATTGGGACGAATATGTCTATAGACATGAGCACCCACAGCATAAGACCTATTCCGGTTTTTCATCTTGCTTCGTACGTACGTTGGAGAACCTTGTTATCAAGACACGGCCCGAGGACGTTGACAAGAACGTGGTTCTTCCCCCGATGCGACATCATACTGTTTACCTGAAACCATGTTGGTTCGACAAGATGACGGCCAATTTGTTCATCCAGGTCCTTCGCGCAAACGCAATCACCAGCGAGCGAACCGATGTCGACTATCTTTTCCATAAGAATAGTACCAAAGCTCGACACAGTTTGATCAGAAATTTACGCCAGTCAAATTTCACCTGGACGGGTTTCAGCCTTGCTGACGTGATCGCAACCGTGGAGACAAGCAAGAAGTACCTCGCCAAAGAAGATAGAAAGTGCTCACCAGATGATGAAAATCTACTGGAGGAGAGTAGCCGGATAATTTCGAGTCTCCAAACCTCGGAAGCATGGAAAGCTTTAAGTCAAGCACACGAGGTGGGATTGGCGATTCACAATTGGCCGGAAGAGTCAGAGGAGAGTTTTGCGCTCACCTTCCCAGCAAAACCTACGATGATAGGCCTTTCACACCTTCTCGATGGGCAGATACACGTGGACAGGAACATACTGGAGCAAGATCCTGGTCATGGTCTTGCGACTGTTGGCCAAGCTGCGAAAGCCAAGACCGCTGCAATGGCGGGTACGGGAGATTCGAAGGGCGCGAATGGCCAGCCTCAGCTGCCTAATGATGCGATCCCTACTTCTTCTGGCGAAGGGAAGCTGTCGGCCACAGTTCAAGTCGTAAATGCAGGCGAGAACGTTCCGACTTCTGGCGAGGCGAGTGGCACTGCAGCTCCCAATAATTCTCAAGTCGCA